AGGATATGGCAGGAGAACGGTATCCCAGTTCCGTTCTCCTACCATGTACGTTTTTTAGTGCTACTGGGTTAATGGTTATGTTATGAACCATCATTACTATTAATACGATTGTCACGCGTCCATTGTAGATGAGCCATCGAGCAACATCGTACTAGTTGCTAGCTACCGCCGGTCTTCCGGTTGGCAGGCGCCGCAAGCGCAACTGATTAGTGGCGGATTAGATACACGTATTTTCTCTGCGGTTAGTTGGGAATCTGGGCCGTAGTGATGGCTGAGTAGCGACTAATTCGAGCTGTACCCACACAGCAAAGCCCAGGCAAAATTAAGTAGGACGGTACTTTGCTTGCCCTAGGGCAATATGATTTACAGTCGCTATGGTGGCATATATATCGATAATGTCTGTTAGGAAAATGGAGTAGCTCATTGTTGCCAGCAAGCTTACAAAATCGTTTGTTTGCTCTTGATTCTTTTGATTCTGTCGTCTCGATTGTTTTCTTAGTCTCCCTCTGTTTCGACACACAAACATATCCAAAGCAATCTAAGTATCAGTTCATCTGTTTTAGAATTTTTGCGTATAAAGGAGTGAGAGTAAAATACGTCACATCACACACCAGACATCAACAAAAGCACAAGCAATATGCTACCAAGTAGCTAAAGCGACTGTATGTATCTGCGCACGGGTGGCTAGATAGGTAAAGTTCAGCTCAACGCGCCGAAGATCATAATTCTCCGTAGTGGATCTGCGATGTCAAGTCCCAGTAACGAAGCCTCTTAGGCTTCTTCTATTAATAAGCTAGTGGCTTTGCCATCGCGCCTCTCAGCGTGATCGTTAACAAGCATCGAAGTACCGTCATCGCCTTCGTCGTTATCGAAGTGTCGCTGTTTTCTGTACACATGAAATCTTCAAGAGAGGAGGAAAGAGAGGGACGAAATACGCGGTGAGCAAGTGGACGAAGAGCTGTTGAGGCACGATCGAATCAGACTTCGTACTCAGTTAGATGCAAGGTCGCGTCTTCTATCTTCTACATAGTAACCGAAGTTTCAACACCAGTATTGAGGAAACCGGTCGAAAAAGAGAATGCGTCTCTTTACTTCCTATTGAAGAGGATGCTTCTGAAGAGGCTAACAAAAGTAAGATGTGGGCAGAGCCTAAGGCAAAAGCAAGCGAAGCCGTTCATCGAACCGGCTTCGTCTAGGCACCCACAAGCGTTCACGTGCTACCCTGCGGAATTTTGGGGGTTCGGTTTAGGGTCCGCTGCCACTGCTAGTGCAGCTGTTGCGATCCCCCTTCATTACCCCCCCCCCCCCCCTCCCCTAAGCTTCTCCCTTGCCTCCGTCACTCTTTTGGGTCGAAAAATGGAATAATATGCAAATGCGTTTAAATATGACGCCTCCGTATTTCCTCGAGCAGTCAACGGACCGCCTTCGTGTCATCCGTTGCAGCCCAGCCCTGAAACCTACAGACCAATCAGGGCGAACCTTATTGGTTTTTTCTATTGCTGGTGCCATCATGGTTTCTGGTCTTAGTTTGTTTTCTTCTGTAGCCTTAAAGTTCCCTTTCCAAAAGACCTTTAATTCTACGTCACTCGCTGGCTGCTTTGCCTTCGTTCTTAGAGAAAAAGGGGTAACTTCGTAACCAGCTAGTCAGTAATAGCGACACAGATGAAAAGCACGGTTTGAATAAACGACGCGAATGACTGATTTTCTCTTCCCTTCAGTTTTGATTAACTAAGAGTCGTAACGGCCTTATTAGTTGATTTACTCTTCGTTCCTTTGAGCATAGGCTTCTAAACTCTTAACTTTACGCGCATCTGTAGTACGAACGTGAAACTGATACTAGATGCCGGCATTGCTATGCGACGTTTAATGTGAAAGAATATGGCTGTATTGTGCATTGAAACAAGTGGAATTATGTATTATATATTTGCAGCATTATTTTGATTTACGTTTTTTTCATAACGTACGTTTTGTTATCCTAAATATAACTCTTAATAAGCCTTCGCAAAGCCCACTTTTACTCAATACTCTACTAATATTTGGTGTGACGCAAGCTAGCTGGACTAAGCAAAACGGGTTTTGGCCATCGCAAAACCATCTCGAGCCGCATTGTGCAAGATACGTACGTTTTAGCAAAGACTAAGTGGCGAAATAAGAGCAAGCCTGCCCGGGGAGACAAACACTATAGCAATGGAAGGGTAAAATTAAAGAAAAGGACAAACTTCAACAGAGCAAACCCGCAATAAAGACTCTCATTAAGGTTATAACTAGCCATAACTATGTGCACTTACTGTGGTGGCAGAAGCTCGAACGAGGTGCTTCTCTCGTGTTCGGTGACGAAAAATGTGTTTAACGAAAAAGTTTCTGTCGCCGCGTTGCAAAAGCAAGACTTTTCATCAGTTGAGTATCAAACGAAGAAGATAATAGCAAATGGGAGGTTCTGTCACAGGTTCTCGTTGCGCTTCGCTTTGCCGGTTACCACTGTAGCCGCGACCCAGGGAGACTTCTTCGTTCTATCTTGCTTGTTTATACAGTCGCTCAGATGACAACAAGTCTATGGGAGCGACAACGTGTACGTTTCTTCTTTTTTTTCTATTTTTATTTCTTATTTGCGTCGCAAAGGGTAGTCGTCGTGTCCGCTGCGTCGGCGATAAGGTGATAGCTCCTCCTGTATTGCAGAGGAGCGTAGGGTCCGCCTGGGGTGAATGAGGAGTACTATGGCTCTACTTGCTGCTGTTTCTGGTGCAACGTTGTCGAAGAAGCAACGAATGTACGACGACGACGGCGGCGCTTAAACTTGCAAATCAATTGGGTTGGTCCATCCCTGTCTTCGTTCATCGTTGCTTTTATCTGAAGACTGGCCCTTGTTCGCTCCTTCGTGTGAGCCACGTCCGACTTTTTCTTTGTGTAGAAAAGAACGGGTCTGTGTTTGCATTTGCGCTTTGTGTTGCTGGCCAGCTCCATCGGTCGTTTGATATCAACGTTCTTTCGTTTTTCCCCCCTTTCCCTCTTTTCTCTTTGGCGTAACAAGAGGGAACGCACATATAGTACTACCCCACACCGTCAACACACGTACTCACTCAACCTAATTCACTTTTTACCCCTGTTTTTCGACTGCCATGGGCTTCCGCCAGTCTCCGTTCCTTCTCTTCACCTCTTTGCCTATGTGCTTCAGTTGCTCTGTAGCCAAATTGTCTCCTTCGTTTGGCTTCGTCTAAGCGCCACCTCGTCGATGTCTGTCTGAGTGCGACTCGCACACCTCTATAGCTATGACCCCACTGAATGCCAGCACCCCTACTGGTTACGGGGTTTAACCGGTCTGAATCTGGATTCGACCTTCTAGACTTAGAAAGACCAGGTTCGGAGCAGCAGGGACGGAAGGCCCCGCCGTTAAGACGAACCGACCGGGGCCAAACAAGAGACCGTCCTCTCCTTCATTCCAAGCTTGCCCGACTGGCACAATCAAATTCTTCCCTCGCGTTTAAGATAGATTTAATGACCCAATGGCGCGCACGTGCAGCTGGTTTAGCGCTACGTCAGCTAGTTGCTCTGGAGAGGCCAAGTCCGTCCGACTGAAATAGAGGTGGGAAGGCTAAGAAAATAAGGTACAATTCATGGTGCACCGCATACGGCGCCGCGTCCGCTCGAAGTAGTCCTGCTGAGTCGACTGCTTCGAATCTGTTCCGATTTGTGCGACGTGCGATCGGACTGATCTAAAGTGTGGACTGCGGGCTTTGGCGGAATAACGCGAAGAGCTGGTCTGCCGGGCAAACTGTTGGACTGCCTTGCCCTAAGGAGTCGAGTCTTGGTAGACAGAGCAAGGACAAACTACATAGACAAGCCCATTTTAATATAAATTGTGGTTGCCCTGGTGGAGCGGAGCCCAGCGGATGTCTTTTCCGTCTCAACTTACGGCCACTCCCGGGTAAATGACCCCTAAGTATTGGCACTTATAAGCGTATTGTGTTATTCGCTATTTTGGGCAAAACATTGCAAACACCTTGTATTTCAAGGTACAGCCACTGCTGTTTGAGATTCATGTTGATATTTCAGTCACTCAAGTAATATAGTATAGACTGTTCTCGTAGGTATTGAAATGAGCGGTATTAGGCTCGACGTGGCGAACATCAAGGAAATTCTGTCGAGAGCACATCACCAAGCTCACATACACTTTTCAGCGATGTATGTGTCTCCGAAGATGTGCGTTTTAGCCTGCAGTCCGTGCGTATGCGCTCTGCCATTCGTTTGCAAGGTCACCTGGCCCGTTCATGCTTAGAGCGAAAAAGAAAATATTTTACAGGATAGAGAGTTTGCTGAGTGATGGCCAGCGGTATGGAAAAGCTCGACTTTGCCGGCCCGGGTTTGGTCTGGCAGTCTTTTGTGATTACTGAGTGGATGACTTGCCTTACTGAGATTCAACCGGTGGTGAACGCTGCCACGACGGTAACTCAAAGGCCACATACTTGCAGACTGGTTTAGCGGGTCGGGGTTAAGCCGACATTAGATACGTTGGATAGGGAACGTTCCTTAATTATAAAAAGCAAACTTTTTTAAACTTACTAGCGTTTGCGCTGTCGTCTATTTTGGAAGTAGTGCAACTCAAGCCACCTACCTTTTTGAAAATCGCTTGGGGAAACTGTCGAAACTTTGAGCACGCTATTTTTACAGTTCTTATAACAACCAGTTCAAAGATACGTGTGTATGTTTGTATTGCACATAGTTATATATGCCGATAAGCCTTTACGCCCGAATACTGCCACCGACTGCTACAGCTGCAGGGACGGTTAGCCTACTTTTCAATGTTATGAAGTGTGAAATGAGCAGTACCCTATGCAACACTGTCGATCGCAGGTGCCTTTCTATTACGTAGTACTACCTGGTTCGCTTGCTTTCCAAAACCTTATACGTCCTTGGCATTAATAGCTCTTATTATCTACAACTACAGAAAACAAAGTAACGTGGATACTTTTATCTTTTTGTTTTGTTCCTTTCCTTTCTAATAGGATCGCCATACGCTGGGTCTTGGTGGGGGCAGTAGCGGTAGCAACGGCTGCGGCACCGGACCTCTCGATAACCTGCGTTTCCCATTCGAACAACAGCTCATGGAGATGATGCGGCCTTCCGCATCCTCGGCCACCGCCAATGGACAACAACAGCCCACTCTACAGGATCATGCGCAGGACCATTTCAAAGGTATATAGAAACATGCCAATATTTATTATAATAAGCATACTTAATAATATAATAAGCTCAAATATTTTATTTGAACGTAGACAAATGGTGCCGACAAGTCGTTGCTACTCCAAGATAAGTGTTTGTCCGGCTTAAAAACAGAACATGAACGCATGCTGTTTCCTTTGGGGAAGACCAGCCCTCTGAAGCAGTGGTTAACGCCAACGCCGGGCGTAAAAATCGTTGTTGGTTGGTCAATCGTGTTGCCTCTACCAGAATGGTATTACAATGAGCACTGCCAGCAGGATTTCAACCAGATAAAATGGCGAGAATATAGGCCAAAGTGGATGTATCTAGCCTAACAACTAAAAATCAAACTATATAATATGCTGTTCGAGCTTCAAGTCGAGAACAATAAGGATGATAGCGGGAGGTAACATCATGCAGGCTCAGTTGCCTTAAGGCTTTATAATTATTTGTGCATTTAATAGTATTCTTCCAATAAAGCGCATATGTCTCTGACTGTGATCATTGTTCTTATTTTGACTTACGGCTAACAGTCTTTCCGACGTACCGGAGGATTAGAGCGTCATCCATTGCGGATCGCCGATTCTTCCACGAAGCATAGGCGCGTCCGCTCTGAAGTACTGTGTCGTTTTGATCTTACCATTCGCTGACCATTATTATATGTTCATCATCACCATAATTACTTTAGTATCGTTGGGCTGGTTACTAAGCATAGCACTCGAGTTACATAGGAGGTGGACAGCGTGAGTATTTCGACTTGAGCGCTTTTCTTTCTACTTACTCTCATATGTGGGAAATTCCCACGTCTCGTTGATGAGGGACGATGCCGCGCATGTGAGCCTAGAGAAACACTGAAGCAGACCAGCTCCGTATTGTGACTAGGTGTAGGCCACTAGGTGCAGAACTACTTGCAGCGCTAGTTGAAGTGACTTAGACGAAATATGGCTCTAGCTTCATCTTCATACGTTCGTGATGATGATACGCTACTGTTGCACTGCTGTAGTTTGACACTGCCTGCATCCCGTCCCTGGATGGCAGAGCCTGCTTTCTTGCCGAAGCGCATTACCCAATGGAGGGCCTACCCACGGGCCGAGGGAAACCTGTTGAAGCACATGTTAAAGCTGCTGCAACTCGAGCCTCTCTCCGGAGTTTCTGCTTTGCCCTTCTGCACGTGTCGCTTGGCGACCATTCTCGTTGGATCTTGTCCTGGTAGGCCATCTCTTTGTCTAGTCCTCCTAGGACAGCCTTCTCTTGGCTTTTGCTGCTGGTCGTGTTTCGTTCTTCGTTGATTGGCCAGTCTGCCCGTAGTTCTTACTCGTGGCCTATTACGAGCCGCATTCTGCTTCCTCTCCCAGCTGAAGAGCAGGAGACGTTTTTGCATCTAACAGCCCTTAGCTGCCGCCGACCAAGCAAGCGAGGACCTGGTTAGCTAGAACCCTTACGAAGAAGGCAGAGAAAACGGCCTATGGGAAGGGGATGGGGTGAATGCACCCGTACATCTGTTTTCTTGGTATACCCCATCTCTTCCAGTCTTATCAAGCCCACAGCTACGTCCCAGCTTTGATGCCCCATTAGCATATCCCCTACTGCTGGTGGAGTTGAATCGGCCGCTGAAGCTACCGTCGACTGGTGGATGGAGCTAGATTTATATATGGGTGAAGTTGGCTGGACTTGCGTTGCTGCTGTTACAATGTTCGACGATTCTTTGTTCTTTGGTGCTATACAGATTCAGCTAGACGAGCCTTCAGGCTGCGGATGGCTCCGCAGGCGCTCGTTTGTCTGGACTAACAGGAAATGACAGAGACGAATCGGATGCACGCCTGTCTCGTCTTAGTGACGAGGCTTGGCGGCACTCCGAAACCAGCCTCGCCATAAAACTACGGAAAATATGTGAGATAGAAAAGAGTCCACTGAACCGTCTGGTTTCTTGCGGAGCGCGACTAAGCGAAAGCTCATTCTGTTGTCCTTGCCCCTATACGTGACATTGCCAGGTGGTGGAAGGTCGGCCAACATATGGAAGTGCGTGCGCATCCCGTACAGGAACGATGGTGCAAGTGTACGTTGCGAATAATCGTCAGTAAACGGAGCTGCAAATAAGTTGCTATTTGCTGTAGACTTTTTCTTCTTCTACTAATCTGTAATTTAGCTGATACAAAAAGGAAAAGACTGAATATGTTTGCACTTGTCGGACAATCGATAACGTACAAATATACTATATTTATTTAGTGCACAGTATTTTATTATATTTAATACACGATATATCATATACCGTGTATTAATATTAGAGCTTGATTTTCAGTCAAAAGCAGGGACTCCAATCCAATACCCATAACTTCTAACAATTTCTGTTATACCAACTTTACGAGCAACTGATTCTGTGGACACGCATTTTGATATTGTTGCCACTGCTAGCCACCGATGATAACAAGTGATGAGCACTTTCTGACGCGTCCGTTTGTGGTAATCTCCGGACGCTAAATGAGCATAAGGTCGCTCATTGGAAACAGCATTTAACGTTTCCTCTGCAATACGCCACAAAGCATACAATGGTCGTATCGTAGTTGCGGCAACAATGCCAATGGCGACTGCATTTAGCGATCACGTTACTACCTTGATGCGAGAAAAACCAAGTTATTATAGTACCCACAGGGGTTAACAGCGGTAGTTGAGCTCGCGGACAGAAGCAGGTCCGGCGTTCATAGCTTTACAATAACGTCCGCTTGCGGGCGTGATCGACCAACCGATGCCCTTATCGCCAGAAAGATTCTAGATGGCTTTGCTCAGGACGACGCTCCGCTTTACTTTCAGTTGAGTCGATAGAGAGCTACAGAACTCTTTTCGTTTTATTTTCATACCAAGATAATATGCGCACATTGGTGCATTTTCTGCATAGGCTGCAATAGCTGTAAGCAGCAAGCCGCACGCCGGAAACAAGTCTTGTGTATGTATGCGTGCACGCGTGTATGGTGTGTAAGACCGTTTGATGAGAATGACGGGGTGAAATATGGGAACCGGAACTTTTTGTTCAAAACTGAGTGTCGGCCTGCTTATGCGCTCTTACTGTCATTTGCGTCGGCCGTGCAGATTCATCTCTATTCGCGCCGCCGCTGCCACGTGCTCCACACGGCAGTCCTTCAATTTTTAGATTTCGTCTCCGCCGTATCTCCTGCAGGCTTCCGCTCGGCGTAGCAGGGACCGTTAGAAATTGAGTTGGTTGGCCGATCAGCATTTTGCCCCTCATGAAGCAAGCAGGGGAAGAGAAGAAGGAAAAGCACTTTGTCGCCGCGTCGTGGCATAGCCGCTGGCAAATCACACGAACTATTTGGCTTGGCTCGCTGTGAATGGGTTCCTCCGAGAGCCCAAAATATATTGAACTGAGCAGAGGCTGCAGCGAGAAAAAAGTGCAGTAGAAATGCATTGTAATGTTGGTGGCCGAGTAGGATGGGCGGATGGTGGGCTTCGTAAAAACGGATAGTAGGTCTGCTCAAGAGCGGCACGAATTTGGGGCCACTGCCTCTATCTCCTCTTTGCTCTCAACCAAACCAAAGTACCTATAGTGGCATCTCTCCAATCTCCAAGACCCTTACCCCCTCGTCTTTCGCGTCTCCTTCTCTCTCTCTCTCTCTCTCAAACACGCATTTTTTTGTCCACACAACCGTCTCGCCGCCCCGTTTTCCTACTCTTCCATTTACATGCAGAGGAGTAACTCTGCGTGTAAACGGAGTAGTAACAGGGATAGCAATAGCGCTATCGTCGTTATTAATAGGGAAGTAAGTGAAATGAGCCCCGATTCTACATACCGTTTCTGGGCGGTGCTGTCCAAGTGAGTAAAGTAGGCCGGAAACGTAGTGAAGAAAGAGTTGGAAACGCTGTTGCAGATACATGGATCAGACACGTAGAACGAGCGGCGCTGCGATCGCTCGTTGGGTCTAAAAACTCGAGTTACCGTCGTCTCATCTTTAGGCAGACGAACAAGAATATAAAGTTATGAATACGGTTATGAGTAGAGTGTATAGATCAAAGCAACTTATTGACTTGTGATTGAATTTTACCTTTTAGCCTTCCTCTTTCCGCCAACCGCCGAATACTTCTTTGACTGTGAGCTACCCTTTAACAAACAGTCAGGTGGGCTCTACTGTCGCCCACAGTGCAAGGCCATCAGGTTTGCATCCTTTAACTCCTAACTGTTCGGTCCACATTTACTCTGTGGTAGATGTTCCCTCCCTGACTGCACATGTATTATTTATCCGGTGGAGACGCTAAGAAGAATCTTTAGATCACTGACTTTTTCCCGATTTAGCTAGATTCAGAGTGGCAATGGCGGCCTTGGAAATGATGGAGCTCGGCAACATCACTGACTACGCCGGGCCTCACCGATTCGTCTCGTCTTACTATCCGCCCCATCAGACATATGGAGAGAGTTGCTTGATGAAGTTCGACAATTACACTGGCAGCCAGGCTATCTGTGCATTCCCACCTTGTTCCCTGTCAATAACTTCGTGTAGAACTTCCTTCTTTATCCGTATTTTCCGCCTCATCCTATGCATCGTGGTCTTTTTTTATCCCGTTGTCTTTTTTCTTTCTGTTTGTATATCCATCTATTCTCTGCTTACACGAGCAGCTTTCCCATCCCTACTTCATAGGTCTCGTCCTTTATTTTTCTCCCGGGGTACTATTCCAGTCCTAAAAGCTGGTCGGGGGCCTTCTGGGCTCGTGTTTACTTCGTGAAGTAGTTCGCTACCTTTCTTTCAACTACGTTGGTCTATCCAGTTTTAATACTGCCTGCCTAAACATTGCGGGTTTTTATCGTGGGATACAAAATCGTTGGTGGCGGGGATCTAATCAGCCGTAGAGTATATCGCATGCCGCGAACAAGGAAGAGTAGCCATCTACGAGTAGTGGTTTTATTAATGATCAAGACGATGTTTCGGTGCCGTCCGCGGAGCAGCCTTTTTTTTGTTGTTTCTACATTTCTCGTATACTTTCTGATAGGA